TGGCTGGCCTCAGGCTACTCAGGGAGCCGATTGGCCAGCTCTGGCCTTAGCCCCCCCCCCCACTGATAGGGAAGGAGGGGAGGAGGAAGCTTGGGAACAAAGATGTGAGAGCATTTCGTCCAAACGCTGCCACAGCTGGAGCCTGGCCCCTCTGCTGCTTGACTCCGGGGTCTCCCCTGGACTAAGCGGGCATGCCGGGCAGGGGTCTCCCTTGGGCTCCACCAGCAGGCACGCAGGTCCCTCTCCCGAGGGGTGGGCTAAGGGCAACTTCTCAGGAGAAGCCCACTCAAAGGGCAGAAGGCTTTTGTCTTCCCTGCAGGGCCAAAAGGCCTCTGGGTGTTTGCCACTGACGCCTGGAGCTGCAGCCGGTGGGCGTCTTGCAGGGCCTGTGAGGTGGGGCTGCTCCCTTTGGTTCCTCAAGGTCACCATTTCTGGGGGGCAGCCGACGGGAGACAGGGGCACCGCAAAGGTTGATGTCTGGCTACAGGATCAGCCGAGCCTTTTGGCCCCTTCAGGGGCTGAAAGCAAGGGACCACTAGGTCACCCCCTTCCGCCCCAGGGCTGCTTTCCACGCAGGACCCCCCTCCCTGGCTGGGCCGGGCTTGTGTTCTCTGTAAGACCGTGGTGCCCAGGAGATGCCATGCAAGTCCCAAGGAGGTGCCAATGCCAGGCTTTTCAATCCAGAGGGCGAGAGCGTTGGGATCAGCAAGGAGCCCAATGAGAGAACCGGGCAGGCGGTTGTCGCCCCTCGTATTTATGGTCCCGAATCAGAGGGGAAGCTGTAACTCAAGATATCGTAAAGCTTCCCTTAGTTTATAATAATTGAATTATTTACTGGCGACCCTGCTAAATGCTGAGTGGTATAAATTATTGAGCGACAGATCTGCCACGAAGTTCCCATCAATAAATCATCCTGTGCCGTCTTAATGTTCTCACTAAATAACTCACTCGGGCTTTTGCCTAAACGCCCCCTTGGGAATTTTACTCACACGGCTGGCTGGTGAATCGGACCAGGCTTCCAGCGCTCCCCTTTGGGCACCCCCCCTCTCCTTGGGGGTCCTTCGCTCCCCCACCCCCAGTGCTTGGGGAGAGATGGTGAAAAAGCCTGCTCAAGAGCTGTTGCAGGGAGCAAGATGGGGCAGAGCCCCCCCCCCAGCGCCCTCTCTCTGTCTGGGCTTTGCTGCCCTCCATGGTCACAAAAACCCCTTTGCCAAATTGTGCCAGGAGGCCAATTCCAGAAGAAGTGGAGTGCCCAGGAGCTTTCGCCACAGGATGGAGATGGGGCGAATCCTCCAAGCAGAGACCTAAGGAGTGTGTGTGTGGGGGGGGGGAACTGAACATGGCTGTTGCTGTGGGGCAGCAGCCCTCCGAGAGGCTGGCAATGAGCCGGGAGCGCATGGCTGCTTTGAAATGGGTTCCTGCAGGCCGCGGGGGAGACATGAGGAGTCTCGTTATGATGGTCATGGAAGAGGCAGGAGATTGAGGGTTGCTGGGCTGGCATATTTCCCCTCTGGGCCATAAACGGGTCTCACTCTGTTTAGAATCTAGGGGTTCCCAACATGGGGCCCAGGCCCCTCAGGGGGGCAGTTTGATTTTTGATGGGGGCCACTTGAACCTTGTTTAAACCAAGTAAGTGGCCTTGTGGGCTTCCTCCGCGGGAGTAGAGTTCTGAGTAAAGTAAGAATTGTATGTCACCAGAGTGTGTGTGTGTGTGTGTGTGTGTGTGTGTGTCAGGATTTTAGAGATGCTTAGGTGGGACACGGCTAAAAAAAGGTTGGGAACCCTAGTTTAGACTTTCCAGCTCCTGATAACCCTGGGGAAATGATTAGTGTGTTGTTTAGATAAATAAAGCTGCCAGATCAGAAGAGGCTGAAAAATTCAGTAAAAACAAGGTACGTGAGCGGCTGAAGCTATGCAGGAATACCCTCAAATGCCCCTTCCCAGCCAAGTGGCAGGGGGTTCCACTGGAGGCTTTCACGCTATTAAAGCGTGCCGTGGCATTAAACACCTCTTAGTAACGGCTGGTAGTCTGCAACAGCACAAGGAGGCTCCCCAGTTCCTCAAACTCACTCTTTCTTTGCCATTTGCTAAATTCACGGCTAGCTTGGCTCCAGCCATTGGGGGCCAGAACCTCAGTGCCCAATGAAAAAGTCCCAGCGTCCTGGATTTTCCTTCCGGGAATGGAGTTGGGGCCTCTCTAGAGGTGGCAGGCAGCTGAGGCTGTGGCCAGGTGGGGGCCGCTGCTGTGCCAGAGGAGGAGGGGAGGCACCACATCGAGAGGGCTTCAGGGGAGGAAGACATCCGCCCTGGATTCAGACTCTGGCTCTCCTGCACAGAGCGACAGGTGCCCCCCCCCCTTGCTCATCCTTGCTCACCTCTGAATGGGTCCAGAGCTACAGCTAATGGTCTGAAAGCAACACCAAGGCTGCCTCTGGAAGTGCAACCGAGAGGAAACACCGGGAGACCAGGAGTGCACACCTATGTTTGTGCAAATTAGT